CTATGACAGTGTTCTCCAGAGATGAAGTCGATCATTTTCATTTTTCATTTTACAATTCTGAAATTTAACACTTCGGTTATGGATCTGAGTGTTGACATATTTCTCTACCATTCAAAGGAAATAATATTAATATGAAACGTCGAATAAGAAATAACTGTTTACTTGATGAACTGTAAATGGTAAATATTATCACCAATTTTTATTGTAGATCATTGTCAAACAAAAACGCCTTAATCTCTGATGGTTCTAAAATGTCCATCATATATTTTTCAAATACTATGATTTCGATGAAATGAAATATTTAAAGTAAATCTGAATCGTTATTATTTTCTTTATATTTTCACACAAAATTTGTTTACCAAATACGAGCAAAAGAATCACTTCGAAAAATGAGTATTTTTTACATGTAAAATAGTACTTGTCCTTTCTTGCTTTCTTAGCATTGATAAAGTGAAACATTAACATGATCCTCATTTCTTATCTGTATGTTAACGATAGATAAAGTCATATAACATACATTCATTGTTTAGAAGAATGTCGAACGATAATACAACTACCACTGATGCAACTTCACAACTTATCGATTTAACAGTAGATAACCTTACAAAAAATGTAAAATTGGTGAATAGTCAAACACCTAATGCACGACTAAAATTTTTAATGGAAAAATTAGTAGATTATCTTCATAATTATGTACGTGAAACTCGACTTACAACTGAAGAATGGAATGAAACAATTAAATTTTTAACTGAATGTGGACATATGTGTACTGATATTCGACAAGAATTTATTTTATTAAGTGATATATTAGGAGTCGGTGTTCTTGTTGATGCACTAAACAATCCTAAACCTGCAAATGCTACAGAATCCACCGTTTTGGGACCATTCTATACCGATGATGCACAAGATGTAGTCAATGGTGATAGTATTGCATCACCAGACAAAGGAGAAATATGTCTTGTACTTGCTACAGTTAAGGACACCAAAGGCAATCCAATTGAAGGAGCCAAGATTGAGGTTTGGGAAGCGGATAATAACGGTCGTTATGATAACCAATATGATGAACGAGATAGACCAGATATGCGTGGTCGACTTACATCGAACAAAAATGGGGAATTTTTTTTTAAATGTGTCAAACCAGTATCATATCCTGTACCTATTGATGGTCCCGTTGGAAATTTGTTAGAAAAACTTCATCGAACTGCTTATCGACCAGCACATATACATTTTCGTATTCATGTTCCAGAAAATATATATGATGATTTAGTTACAGCATTGTACATCAGTGGTGATCCGTATGAATCAAATGATGCTGTTTTCGCTGTTAAAAAAAGTCTTATTGTAAATGTTGGAAAAGTAGAAGATATATCAGTGGCAAAGAAATATAATGTTATTGAACAAGATTGGTTGATTAGATATGATTTTGTTCTGACTACAAAAGACGAAACTCAAATACTGCTCGCAATACCTACAACCGATTAACCATTGACCAATTTTGATACTGTGTTGTTTTATAAATTCGATTAGATAGCGATTTCTTAAAGTACAAAATAAAGGTTTATTCTAGTGCTATGAAGATTAAATTTAATTTCACGGATTCGATGGTTGAATGTTGTTAATAGCAACGGAATAAAAAGATTAGCGCCTTCCTTCTTTTGGTTGGGCAGTGGAAAGTAGTGTCATCGTTACGTGAGCTGTATTATTCAGGATACAAACGACCAATAGAGTAAATAACGATGGAAATAAAATTCTAAATCCTATCTCACTCTAACTACAATAGTGGAGAGTGTAGCTACTTTATTGGTACTGTGTATTCTTGATAATACGACGGACTTAGTGAAGGTCCCATCCGTCACTAATTGTTAACATTATTGAGATTTGAATGTATTTTTATGAAATTTTTGATACTTTTTTTCACCAGAATATAAGTTTAAGTGAGATCAATTATCATTCTCACATTCTTTTAAAAAAAAACATAATTATTTCGAGCTATGTTGAGAAGTATTTATTGACATAATAATTTCCATCAAAGCTTCCCTTCATCTACAAATTATTCGTTATTGAAACAGATCCTTCGATTTTGCTGATATTGAATTTAAGAACATAAAATACTTTACTACACAATGTCTATTATTTTTATTTTCTCATGTAAATAATTCCGAAATTCTATCTTTACTCATTTTGTGAACTAACAAATGAACAGTTTCAACTTATCAATCACTTTCTCACTGAAAGCTAGTGAGCTGCAATTTGTCGACCATGAGAAATCATCTTTAGATGTTCATAAACTGATTTTTCAAAATCATAAACATTTTGCCAAAGTTGTTTCTGATCTAATCAGATTATATATCATATCGAGTCATTTATAAGTCAATAATATTTTCTGTTTCCCAAGAATTCTCTTAGTCACATTCAGAATCAACATGATGATAATATTATTCGAAGATATCGTTGATTTTCATAAACGTCATGTAATCAAACTAAATGAGATTATTATTATTAATAATGTGTTTTTGGAACGATCGAAATGATTAACATAAGTTAAAATGAAATTGAGGCAATTAATTAATTCAACAAAAGAATTAAATATATGGGGAGAACGTTTAAATTATTGCAAACAAGTGCTGCAAGTTCAGCATGTCAGTGTGGGTATGGATATAGATTGAGAGAAGATTCAAACATCCACACCCACATCCATAGAATTCTTGGAAGTTCTTATAGAAACAACTTCTATTTTATTTTAGCGTGTTCCATATACACTAATGTAAGAACGAAGAAAGAATTATTTTAAAACTTTTGATCTAGTAACTCACATTAAGTGATATTGAACAACATTTTGAAATCATTATTTAATGTAACTCAAAGCCTTCTTAATTTGTATAAAAGTTCTATTTCGATGTTAAACATCGTATTTTTAGGTTTCTTAATAGCTCGATGTCTTCATAGTTACCAGAGGCTAGTATTTAACAAAACTTTTACAAAAAAAAAGGAGATCTGTTCTGATATCTTTGTAATGAAATCTGGAACTGACAATTACTAGCTATTGAAATTTTCTGACAGTCGATTAAAAATTGTTCAGAAAGGTAAACCCGAAACTTCAAGATGGAAAATCTTTAGTACAGACTAAATGCACTTTCTGATTGCTTGTTAATATATCAAGATCATAATAAATTCATTTCAACGTGATTCGACGCTCTCATCATGCGGTGAGAAAGTATGAGCTCAATACTTAGAGCTGAAATTTTGATGTCGACTAGGAATACGTCAGATGTAAACTATCTCACTCATGTTTCTGGACCGTTAAACTATGAAGATCGATAAAAATGAGCAAAATACTCTAGCTTCAGTCCCTTAAAAATTGATTAGATAACCAATCGATTCGATTATTCCAAGTATGAGCTACTCTATTGGCACTCGGAAATGAAAGACAACAGCTATTAGAAAAGTCTCGGTATGAATGTCTGCTACTACTAGAGAAAGCAAGGAGTGTCATAAATGTTCTCAATACAATGTGAGAACCGATTATTACACATTTCACTAATTATTTGTTGTGATCCAGTTATTAGCTGATAGCTATGTTTAGATATAAGACTAGAGAGATCGTAAGAGATCTAGCTCAGCTATGTTTGTCTCAAATGACATGATCATCAGTCGGTAAGCTTTCAAATCCACTCAAGACTACTAATGCCTTATGGTTGCGAACGCAAAGACGATAGTTTTATAACACTTATTGGCTCTTTCAAAAAGTTTTAAAACATGTTTTCCACCAATTTTACGATAGAGATCTTGCTAGTCAATGGTATACTGTTGATAATATTGAGAAAATAGAGAGAGAGAGAGTATGGGTACGGATGAGGACAAGACATCTCCACACCCACACCTCTGTTCGACAAAACATCTTTTGAATGCATTTTCTGTTTCATAATTTTGATTTATTACGATTAGTCAAAGAAATTTTTTTTCGTGCGTAAAAAATTTATTCATTTTATTATTCTTTGTAATTTCGGTTGCATTCGTTCAAGTTTCCAATCATGTATTGAGACTATTTTATATGAAACTTTCATTGATTTTTTTCGATTTGGATATAAATTAAATTGATGAAGACATTTCTTTAAACACCGAAAAAAGTTTTGATGTTGATCTAATGTTTGTGAATCAAGTTGAAAAGCAAGAGAATAGAATGCTTCGGTATTATTTGATTGGTATTCAATTGAACATTGTGTTTGAATAATTAAATGACATTCTTCTTCACAATCATTGACAAAACGTACTAAACGTGATTTTATCCAACCAATCCATTCATCAAGTTCATGAATATTTTCACTTGAAAGTGTTAATTGAAGAAGTGATTTCGTGTTTTCATTTGGAAAATCATTATTTAATTCAAGAATTTGTTTAAGTGCATTCATTTTATCTTCACAAGTAATTATATTTACTGAATCAAGCAATTGTAGAACACATTGAAACTCTTGAATAATTAAATCACGTGTAGAATTTGTTGTTGAACGTCCTGTATTATTATATGGTGGACTTGGTGATATAATACGCATTGATCCACGATTATGTACTGATGATTTATTCGAAAGAGTCATTTGTTTATAAGATTTTGAATATAGACAAAGTTCTTGTGATGACCAATTAAACTGTGCAAATGTGGAAAAAAATTTTTGAACTAACGAAAAAAACTCATCTATAGAAAAATGTTCAATTGATGAAAGAGATTTGATTGGTGATAAATATGTATGACAAATATATGCACATAAGATAGCCCAAGAATAACCACCTAAATAACAATAGACTTGTCCATAAAGACCTACATGTTGAGCCCAAGCACGAATAAATGCTAGAAGATGTTGAAAAATAGGTGGAAAACGAACATATATAAACAGACGTTCAATTTCATATATCTACAAAGAAAAATGTTTTAGAAACGATTTTAATAACGGAAAGTTTGCGATGCTTTAAAAACTTAATATATGTGTTGTAGTCTTTTTTTTTTCTAACGGAGACATTTTCGAATAAATTTTGAAAGCAATTGTTTTCACAGTTAAGACTCAAAGCGAGTACACACTGATTACTCAAATTGTTTAATAAGATTTTGTTTCAATTTTTTCTGCAACTTTAAACGCATAAAAAAAGAATTTGAATAGAGAATATAGTAGAGAAAATTCTTTCTAACAAAAATATAGAACAATAAAAATGATTCCCTAGTGTCAAAACACTAAATTTTCAGAAAACCGAAAAACTGGTTTTTCAGTATTTTGAACACTCAAATGTAACTTTTTCGGGATTACACAGAATAATAGAGAGAAGAATTCTCTAATACATCCAAGTTTTTAGTTACGATACAAACCTAATTGAAAAATTAAAAATAGTTTTTTCAAAAAATATCATAAAAACTACTTTTTAGACCTTCATAAGATTGCTGTATTTCAGCAAAAAGAAATGTATCATTATGTACAGAATTTTTTTCTCTGTCGTTCTCTATGAAGTTTGAATAATATTATATTAGTGTGTTCCAGACGATGAAAAAGTAGTATTTTCTGAAGATCTGTTTTTTGAATATTTGAGAAACATTTTTATTTATCTTACCCCATGTATAGATTGTTGAAAATTTGAAGATTGTTCTTTATTTATTTCAATTTGTACAAATATTTCAACTTTTGTTTGATCATTAAATAAAATTGATATTATTGGAAATAATGCTTGAATTTTTCGATAATAAATTATTTCATTTTTTAAATTTACATTTATTTGTGTTTCAAGTAAATTAACAATATGATTATTTAATGCATTTGAGTCATGCTTTAATTGACGAAGTGTTCTATCAAATGTTGTTTCATTATCTATTGATTTAAGTTCATTTAAAAGAAACACTGTATCAAGATCTTGTCCATTAATACCCTAAAAAAAATATTATATAAATGTTTTTTGATTTAATTAATTTTATCTTACAATACGAAAACTTCCATATGATAAAAATGAATGAGTAAAACAATGTAGTGTATCTTTATTAAACATTTGTTCAAAACAAGATGAAAGTTTTTTGAATTTTTCTTGTTTTCGTTGATATGATTCATCAGTTTCATATAGATTCATTGTTTGAAAAAGTTCTTGTAATTTATAATCAACACAATTTAAGTGTTTCGAATTAATTGGTTGAAGTACAGGACCTAATGGTAATTGATAACTAATATGAAATGGTGTTGTGTCATTGTCATATGGTCGTTGTAAGATGTAAACATATTGAACAGGAAAGGACAGGGGCGCATAAGAACATGATTTGGCCCATAGCACTTTTCAAACAGAACTCATCACAATCATCCATAGGATGGAAGAACTTTTCACGGCGAATACTTTGATACTCGATTCGAGTTATACTTCCAGTATATTTGAGGATTTCCAAACCCATACATTCATTATTGGAACGATTCTTTGCGATCAACCTTTCAACTATAAAGTCAGGAGCAGTCAACTTTTATTATAGCCCATTAGATAGCATTTTTGACGGGCTACAAAATCGTATAACTTTCAATATTCCTGAAGGTGGGCCAAAAAAAAAGTTACAGACCATACTGTTGAAACTATGCCAATTTTAAATACACTGTAAGATAGGTGACTTATGATTTCTCTTAAAGTTCGGAGAAGCCAACTTCTATTATAGCTCATTCGATAGCATTTTTTACGGGCTACAAAATCATATAACTTTGAATATTTCTGAAGGTGGGCCAAAAAAAAGGTTACAGACCATACTGCTCAAACCATGCCATTTTTGGATACACTGTAACATAGGTGACTTATGATTTCTCTTAAAGTTCGGAGAAGCCAACTTCTATTATAGCTCATTCGATAGCATTTTTGATGGGCTACAAAATCATATAACTTTCAATATTTCTGAAGGTGGGCCAAAAAAAGGTTACAGACCATACTGATCAAACTATGCCAATTTTAGATACACTGTAAGATAGGTGACTTATGATTTCTCTTAAAGTTTGGAGGAGCCAACTTCTACTACGACTCATTCGATAGCATTTTTTACGGGCTACAAAATCATATAACTTTCAATATTTCTAAAGGTGGGCCAAAAAAAAGGTCACAGACCATACTGTTGAAACCATGTCAATTTTAGATACACTATAATATAGTTGACTTATTATTCCTCATAACATCAATAGAAACTAGTTTGTATCGTAACTCGTTGGATGAAGCTTTGGATGAATGACCTTTTGGTATAATTTGTACGAGCGAAAAGGTGAAATCGTTGTGATGAAGTAGGTGCGTGGTATTTTAGTATGTCTCTAACGAGGGAACCTCTTGAGGTGATAAAAAGCTTTTGAACTCAAACTACTTTTATCTTATAGGTCGCGGTGAGTAATGATATTCCCTAAGTTGGTTCATCTTCAATGTGCTTTGAAGTGGAGTTATGACCGTTTTGGTGTTTTTTCGACCTATGCCACCGTATTACCAGACAAAGTAAACAAGCGAATTTCGACCTGAAATATTGTCCATGCGTAGAACTAATGGTCACTAGAATACTCTCAAATTTTCAGACGAAGCGCATGCATCCTTCTTGAGATAATGAATTTTCAAAAAACGNAGAGCAGAAAAATACTTTTGAGGCGAAACTCAGAAATACTCATCTAGAAACAAAAGTATAAACATGGAAAAAAAACTAAAACATCAAGGATCATAGGGGGGTCTTCTAATCTGTCTTTTGCGTCGTTTATTCAAGGGGGGTCTTCTATTATGGGGGGGTCCTCTATTATAGGGGGGTCTTCTAACGTGTCGATGGCTTTATATGTGCAGAGTTTTTTTTGATGAAGTTCTATCTTTTGCATCTACCTATAAAGACAGACACTTTGTCTTTATTCATGCGGAATAAAGACAATCTTTAATCTATTTGTCGAGACTGTAATTCACAGAAAAAAATGTAGAAAGTTTCATTAAAGAGGGCGCTATTCTATAATCTCCATTGCTCCAGTACAAATACATTTCAGAGAAAACTTCTCAGTTCTGTGCAAATTTCAAAGATATATTGTTGCTTTCATCAACTTACGTTGAGAAACATTTATTTATGACTTCAAAAACCATTTTACTAATTCAAATAACAAATATTAGTGCATTCATCACAATATTGTTTTTTTTATCAATATCTATTCATGATAGAAATAGATTGATATAAATTTCTGGATAAAAATAGAGCACGCCAGATCACACACGATCAGAGAAGATCTGCCTTAACGTCTACCGTATGTTTCTTGATTTTTAAATCTTATGTGATCTGATAAGATCTGACATGTGTTATGAAGTCGGTTATTATACGTTTCTTAATCGCCGAATCTTGCAAGATATTTGCTTGACACTTTCATTCAGAATCTGATGAGATCTTTGCAGTAAATTAGCCCATAAGTGCTTGCTGGATTTTATGTCAAGATCATACAAAAAATCTTGTATGCATCAGATCTGATAAGATCTGGCCCGATCTGAGGTCTGACTTTTTCACCTGGGGCATCTTTACGTATCATATCTTATTGGATCAGCTGTCGAATCAACGTGACAAATAGGTTTCAGACCATCTACATCGCTTAATATTCATGTTGCAAAGGAATTGTAATTATATTTCCACTTGACTGACATGTTTCAAGAAAATCATTGAAAAGTGTTAATTAAGGGTGATATTATTTCTATCTTTTGACTCAAGAAAAAGTATTATGTGCATGTCTTTTGGATATTCTTTTAGGTGCATCTTGTGCAACTTTTTTTCGCTCTATCATATCCATACAAAACTATTGTCGATTCAAACTATTTTTGATATTTTTTTGTCTCGTTGCTCAGGCATTGACCTTTCATTGATATGCTCGAAAACTATTTCAGAAAAATCTAAATATACAGTTTTCTAGAGCAAAACTTCCTCTATCATTTGAGATATGATTCAATTCGATTTGATTGACTTCGGAGAAAAAAAAACAATCGCATACTAAGAAATCTATTGTTTAATTATCAAAAACTTCATTTTCTTCATTAAACTCTATCCTATCGTACGAAACAAAACGCTTCAAACTTGTTTGAATTTAGTTCAGAAATGAATGAACATATCTTTATACAATATGCCTATTTCACGCTTAATCGATCATAAAAATACACGCTGTCGATTCAAATAAATACGGTCGTTTGCGATAACAAACAACAAATTAGTTGATTTCGTCATATAAAATAGATCATATCAACAATTCAAGTGAAGCCATAATCAATAACTGATTCAATCATGTTTACATATTTTGCTTCATGTTATTTATTTATTTTCAATAGTCGAACAGAATTTTATTTGTTTATTTTTCCAAAACAAAAATAGAATTTATCTAATTATTTTATTGTTCTTTGAGGTTTCGCTTGCATTCGTTCAAGTTTCCAATCATGTGTTGAGATTATTTTATAGGAAATTTTCATTGATTCTTTTCGATTTGGACACAAATTAAATTGATCAAGAAACTTCTTTAAACAATTAGAAAAATTTCGATGTTGAATTAATGTTTGTGGATCAAGTTGAAAAGCAATAGAATAAAATGCTTCAGTATTATTTGATCGATATTCAATTAAATTTTGTGTTTGAATAATTAAATGACATTCTTCTTCACAATCATTTATAAAATGTGCTAAACGTGATTTCATCCAACCAATCCATTCATCAAGTTCATAATTATTTTCACTTGAAAGTGTTAATTGAACAAGTGATTTGATTTTTTCATTTGGAAAATCATTATTTAATTCAAGAATTTGTTTTAATGCATTAGATTTATCTTCACAAGTTATTGTATTTATTGTATCAAGTAATTGTAATACACGTTGAAAACCTTGAATAATTAAATCACGTGTAGAATTTATTGTTGAACGTCCTGTATTATTATATGGCGAACTTGGTGATATAATACGCATTGAACCACGATTATGTACTGATGATTTTTCTGAAAGAGTCATTTGTTTATATGATTTTGGATAAAGACGAAATGCTTGTGATGACCAATTAAATTGTGCAAAAGTTAAAAAAAATTGTTGAACTAATGAAAAAAATTCATCGATAGAAAAATTTTCAATTGATGAAAGAGATTTGATTGATGATAAAAATGTATGACAAATATGTGCACATAAAATAGACCAAGAGTAACCACTTAAATAACCATAGGCACGACCATAAAGACCAACATGTTGAGCCCAAATACGAATAAATGTTAGAAGATGTTGAAAGATAGGTGGAGAACGAACATGAATCAATAAATATTCAGTTTCATGAACCTAAAAGAATAATTGCATATATCTCGATGTTTAGTATTCCCATGGATTAGACAATTGTTGTATTGTTTGTGTTATGCATCATGGAAACAATATGGAAATTTTCAATAAATGTTTCTTAGACCTTCTCAAAATTGAATGCAATTCAATGATGAAAGGTGGCAGATAAAATCTTTTCCCCTACAGCTTCGAATTGAAGTCAGAAAGTTGGTTTTTAGAGATTCTGGTTTTCCTCAAATGTTCAAGTTTTGTTCGAACTTTTTAACTTGCCAATTATTAGAGAAATTCCTTCCAATTACACGAATCTTTTTTTATAGATGCTTCCTAGCTATTACTGTCGTGAAGAAAACTTAACAATACAACGGCTTTAAACTTTCATCTTTTCAATGGATAAAATGCATCTCAGTGATCGTTTTGATGTTTAATGTTTCTTAACAAACAGATCTCCTTATTACGTTATAGTTCAATGAGGCATTATAATATTGAGTTTAGTTTCTTGTCTATCTTACCCGAATAACAGGTTCATGAAAATTCAAATGTAACTTTGAATTATCTTGAGCATATTGTTCTTTATTTATTTCAATTTGTACAAATATTTTTACTTTTGTTTGATCATTAAATAAAATTGATATAATTGGAAATAATGCTTGAATGTTTCGATAATAAATTATTTCATCTTTTAGATTTCCGTGTATTTGTGTTTCAAGTAAATTAACAATATGATTATTAAATGCAGTTGAATCATGTTTTAATTGATGAAGTGTTTCATCAAATGTTGTTTCATTATTTGTTGATTTAAGTTCATTTAAGAGAAATATCGTATCCAGATCTTGTCCATTAATACCCTAAAAGAAATTATATAATAAATTATGTTTTTGTTTTTCATTAATTAAATTTATCTTACAATACGAAAACTTCCATATGGTAAAAATGAATGAGTAAAACAATTTAATGTATCTTTATTAAACATTTGTTTAAAACAAGATGAAAGTTTTTCGAATTTTTCTTGTTTTCTTTTATATGATTCATTTGTTTCATAAAGATTCATTATTTGAAAAAATTCTTGTAATTTTCTATCAACACAATTTAATTGTTTTGAATTTATTGGTTGAAGTACAGAACCTAATGGTAATTGATAAACTATATGAAATGGTGTTGTATCATTGTCATATGGTCGTTGTAAGATGTAAATATATTCAACAGGAAATTTAAATGATTCATTTAAACCTAAAAGAAATTAAACAGAAATTCTTTCTTACTGAACTTTATTATTTTCATATCTTATCAATTTGTAATTGTAATTAAACATTTTTAGGTACTTTTCAGAGAGATAGGTAAAATATACGAAGAACGAGGACAAAATTAAATTTCAGTTTCGAAGAAATTTTGTTTACATATAAACTAATTTTCGTTGAGGCTTAGAACTTATGAGATACTCTTTATTTCTCAAAGCATTGAATTACATTTCTATGAAGCTTTTCTCATAGTCATTACATTAAAATTTTCTAGAAATAGGAATTGAGTATCTCAAGCTGACGACTTGTGCAATACAACATCGTAAAACTTGACTGATATTTAGATGGTTTTCAATTGCTTTCCATTTCAATAACTTACTCAATGATGATTTAGCTTGATTTAATTTTTGTTCATTTTCGAATTGTGCAATTGTCATATGTGGATTATAACCATTTCTATTATTTTTTGAACATTGTGGAAATAATTGTTTAAGTTGTTCATGTAATTGTTTAACATATTTTGTTGATTGTTGATTTAATTTCATAAAACTAATATTATTTTCAATAAATGAATCAATTTCATTTATTTCAATAGAAAATGATTCAATTTGACATAATAAAAGTCTTAATGGTAAAAGAATATCTTCTTGATCATCTTGACAATCAGTTAAATCAAAAAATGGCCATAATAAATTAAAATGCGGAGGCCATCGATTAAACGATGGATCATATTGTTCACGATATGAATTAATTAATGGCCACGTATTTATTGTTGGTAAAATAACAAGTGCTGAACGATGACTTATTGATCTTGTTCGAAAATTAATAATTAATTGTAAAGCATAATGATCCGATTGATTAATACGTTGATTATTATCAATATTCAATGGATCAATTGGAATTGTTTCAATACCAATCATTAAAAGATATTCAATTGAATAAGATATATTATCTAATGTATGAATTAAATATCGATCTAAACGACGATTTATTTGTGATTGAGATGTAATTCGAGCACAAAGATTATTTGATGGATCAAATGTAAAACCAGGATTCTAAAAATAAAACAGTCAACAAATACTCCATGATCGTTATTGTTCATTAGAGAATAAAGGATATCCCAGAAGATCTTAAACGATTTTCAAATTCACCTTTTTTGCATAGAGAAAAATTAAACTTTTTGTAATTTTGACAAATTATTGTATGTACTATTTTTCAATACCCTGAATTGATAAATATTTAAAATAGTCTACAAATTTTATTGATCAGTGGTAGAAACTCATCGTACTGTCAGCCTACGATCATTATAACAGAATGTATTTTAATGTAATTTTTTATGATGATCAAGTTGATAAATGAAGGATGAAAGTGACTTTGGATCCTGCTGAATATATTTTTTATGAACAAAAAAAAAAAAAATTTTTAATGCAAAGCACTAACCGATGTTTTTTCTATAGAAAATATTTATCGTAGACAAGAATATAATAATATCGAACAAGGGCAAAACAAGAATAAAGAGAACTATAGAAATATGTATTAGTCGTTTATATCAAAGATTAATAAATAAAATGCTAGAGGATCGAGAAAATCGATAGGTATGAATATTTGCATTTATTCGATATTAATTATTGTAAAAACATGAAAACATTTGAAAGATTCCTATGTTCGAGAGACTTAATCGAAAAGTTCTGCAATTTTTTCTACAATCTGGTCTAATCAATGCCTTTAGGTGAGCTAAGTTTCAAATCAAAATTGAGAATCTTTCCTCGTAAGTAGATAGAATAATTTACCGAAACTCTGAAGAGTTTGCTTTGCTGAATGCAAGAACAATGAATTCTAAAAATGTTTCAGAACTTCCATGGACACACACTTTATCAATTCGAAGTTTAACATCAATCAAATTCCTCTTGTTATTTAACAATTATTAATAAAATCGAAATATCTTACCTCATCAAGATGATAACTATCTTTCCATAAATCATGTACTTCATTTTCATATGTAGCAAGAATATTTTGTTCTTTTATATGATTATCTCCAAAGTTAAAATCACCAATAAGCATATAATTATTTGTTTTCATTTTTTTAAAAATATTTTCTAAAGTTTGACAACGTTTTTCACTTGAATTACGTGAAAGATCGCTATGTAAATGAAGATTAACAAGATCAATTGTTATTTTACTATTTAAACCAAATCGAGCTATGATTAATTCTTTTGTTATTTTCTGTCTTGTTACTGTTGTTTTATCTTCATCCGATAAATTAAGTGGACATATTGAAAATGATCTTGGTCGAAAATTTTTCATAATCATTAATTGTCCATATGATTTATCTTGATTACTATTAATAACATTTTTCATAATAATAATATAATAATTATTTTCTTTTAACCATATTTCATTTAAAAGAAGATTAAGAAAATTAACAGTTACTTCTTGTAAACAAATAATATCAGGTAAAAGTGATTTAAGTGTATCAAGTATTGATCGATATCGTTGAGAAGTATAAATAAGTGTTGGTTGATAATAATCAAATAAAATATTCCATGTTACAAAATGACATCGTTCAGGAAGACATGTTTCATTTGTTGATGGAATTTTTGAATCATCTGATGTTAATGATATATGTGGACATTCAATCCATTTTTGAAGAGATTGATCAAAATTATAGAGTCCTTGCACAAGAGTAGATATTTGCTCAGTATCTAGGATATAGAAAAAACGGATTTGAATGATGATAGAATCGAGTTCAAACTCTGTATAAAACTTCTTTAAAATGAAAATTAGTATCATAATGAAGGATAGAATGTTATTTTCTATTGTAAAAAACAAACTTTGATACAAAACAAGAGTCCTCTGTATATCTTAGGACTTCAGATGGGTGATCTGAGGATCATTAGAGCATTTTTTTAAGAGAACTACAATATTAAATTCGTACTGTATTTAAAGCTAGAGGGCTGCAGGGTGCAGGATTTTTATAACCTGTAACCTGCCCTGTAAATTTTTTGTAACCTGATCCTGCCCTGCCCTGTGAATATTTTTGCGGACCCTGCCCTAAAACTTTCTAATGTAACCTGTAACCTGCCCTGCCCTGCCCTGCTAATTTTAAAATAGAGGAATATCCAAAATTTCCTATCAGTATTTATAGTACATTTAATTGTGTGTACTTNACCCACACCCACACCCACACACACCCACACCCACACCCACCCACACGCACACCCACACCCCCACACCCACAGACCAGGCTAAATGTACCTTCTGATGGCTTGTTAATATATCAAGATCATAATAAATTCATTTCAACGTGATCCGACGCTCTCACCATGCGGTGAGAAAGTATGAGCTCAATACTTAGAGCTGAAATTTTAATGTCGCCTAGAAATACGTCAGCTGTAAACTATCTCAGTCATGTTTCTGGACCGTTAAACTATGAAGATCGATAAAAACGAGTAAAATACAGTAGCTTCAGTGCCTTAAAAATTGATTAGATAACTAGTCGATTCGATTATTCCAAGTATGAGCTACTCTATTGGCACTCGGAATTGAAAGACAACAGCTATTAGAAAAGTGTCAGTATGAATGTCTGCCACTACTAGAGAAAGCAAGGGGTGTCATAAATGTTTTCAATACGATGTGAGAACCGATTATTACACATTTCACTGATTATTTGTTGTAATCCAGTTATTAGCTGATAGCTATGTGTAGATATAAGACTAGAGAGATCTTAAGAGGTCTAGCTCAGCTATGTTTGTCTCAAATGATATGATCATCAGTCGATAAACTTACAAATCCACTCTAGACTACTAATGCCTTATGGTTGCAAACGCAAAGATGATAGTTTTATAACACTTATTGGCTCTTTCAAAAAGTTATAAAACATGTTTTCCATCAATTTCACGATGGAGATCTTGCTAGTCAATGGCATACTGTTGATAATATTGAGAAAATAGAGAGAGTGTGGGTGCGGATGAGGACAGGGCATCCACACTCACACTTTTGTTCGATAAAACATCTTTTGAATGCATTTTCTGCTTCATAATTTTGATTTATTACGATTAGTCAAAGAAATTTTTATTCGTTTCTGCGTAAAAAGCCTACACAATTTGTTTATTTTATTATTCTTTGCAATTTCGGTTGCATCCGTTCAAGTTTCCAATCATGCATTGAGACTATTTTATATGACACTTTCATTGGTTTTTTTCGATTTGGATATAAATTAAATTGATGAAGACATTTCTTTAAATAACGAAAAAAGTTTTGATGTTGATCTAATGTGTGTGGATCAAGTTGAAAAGCAATAGAATATAATGCTTCGGTATTATTTGATTGATATTCAATTGAACATTATGTTTCAATAATTAAATGACATTCTTCTTCACAATCATTGATAAAACATACTAAACGTGATTTTATCCAACCAATCCATTCATGAAGTTCATGAATATTTTCACTTGAAAGTGTTAATTGAAGAAGTGATTTTGTTTTTTCATTTGGAAAATCATTATTTAATTCAAGAATTTGTTTAAGTGCATTCCTTTTATCTTCACAAGTAATTATATTTACTGAATCAAGCAATTGTAGAACACATTGAAAACCTTGAATAATTAAATCACGTGTACAATTTGTTGTTGAATGTTCTGTATTATTATATGGTGGACTTTGTGATAGAATACGCATTGATCCACGATTATGTACTGATGATTTATCCGAAAGAGTCATTTGTTTATAAGATTTTGAATAAAGACAAAGTGCTTGTGATGACCAATTAAATTGTGCAAATGTGGAAAAAAATCGTTGAGCTAATAAAAAAAATTCATTGATAGGAAAATGTCCAATTGATGAAAGAGATTTGATAGGTGATAAATATGTATGACAAATATATGCACATAAGATAGCCCAAGAATAACCACCCAAATAACAGTAGACTTGTCCATAAAGACCTACATGTTGAGCCCAAGCACGAATAAATGTTAGAAGATGTTGAAAAATAGGTGGGGAACGAATATATATAAGCAGACGTTCAATTTCATGTACCTAAAAAGAAAAATATTTTAGAAATGACTTGAATAATAGAAAATTTGCGATTCTTTAAAAACTTAATATATGTGTTGTAGTCTTTTTTTTCTAACCAAGATATTTTCGAATAAATTTTGAAAGCTATTGTTTTCACAGTTAAGACTCAAAGCGATTACACACAGACTACTTAAACTGTTTAATAAGATTTTGTTTCAATTTTTTCTGCAACTTTAAACGCATAAAAAAAGAATTTGAATAGAGAATGCAGTAGAGACAATTCTTTCTAACAAAAATATAGAAAAATAAAAATGGTTCTCTAGTGTCAAAACACTAAATTTTCAGAAAACCGAAAAACTGGTTTTTCAGTATTTTGAACACTCAAATGTAACTTTCTTCAGATTACACAGAATAATAGAGAGAAAAATTCTCTAACACATCCAAGTTTTTAATTGCGATACAAAAGCTGATTGAAAAATAAAAAATGGCTTTTTCAAAAAATATCATAGAAACTACCTTTCAGACTTCCATAAGATTGCTGTATTTCAGCAAAAAAAATTATCATTATATAGAGAATTGTTTCCTCTATCGTTCTCTATGAAATTTGTGTGTTCTAGGTGCTGAAAAAGTAGTGTTTTCTGAAGATCTGTTTTTTTTTCAATATTTGTGAAACATTTTTATTTATCTACTAGCTTCATCATACACATTTTCTTATAGCATTTAAAGTTTGATGAAAAAATTGAAAATAAATGATAATAATGATATGTTATTTATCTTACTTCATGTCTAGATTCTTGAAAATTTGAAGATTGTTCTTTATTTATTTCAATTTGCACAAATATTTCAACTTTTGTTTGATCATTGAATAAAATTGATATCATTGAAAATAATGCTTGAATTTTTCGATAATAAATTATTTCATTTTTTAAATTAACATTTATTTGTGTTTCAAGTAAATTAACAATATGATTATTTAATGCATTTGAATCATGTTTTACTTGACAAAATTTTTTATCAAATGTTGTTTCATTATCTATTGATTCAAGTTCATTTAAAAGAAACACTGTATCAAGATCTTATCCATTAATACCCTAAATAAAATATAAAATAAATGTTTTTTGATTTAATTAATTTTATCTTACAATACGAAAACTTCTATATGATAAAAATGAATGAGTAAAACAATGTAATGTATCTTTATTAAAAATTTGTTCAAAACAAGATGAAAGTTTTTTGAATTTTTCTTGTTTTCGTTGATATGATTCATTAGTTTCATATAGATTCATTGTTTGAAAAAGTTCTTGTAATTTAAAATCAACACAATTTAATTGTTTCGAATTAATTGGTTGAAGTACAGGACCTAATGGTAATTGATAAGTAATATGAAATGGTGTTGTGTTATTGTCATGTGGTCGTTGTAAGATGTAAACATATTGAACAGGAAATTTAAATGATTCATTTAAAGCTAGAAGACAAATAAAAATATTTTCATGTCTTATCAATTCACAATGGATAAATGTAAAAATTAAATTGAATTTAAATATTTTTAGATATTGGTAAAATATACTTCACATAATTATGCAATATGCATGATACATGTTAAAAAATATTGCTACTAGTTTGCGTTGGATTGGACTAGAAACTTTATTTCATTATAAAAACTATGTAAAGGGTGATGCCTACCTAACTATATCTATACGAACTTCGAGTACTTAGGAGTGTTCATAGTTCATTAAGAGTTCTGTCGATTTCGATATTTCAATTATCCCATTTCTTCTGCTTATTTCACTATTATTATAAGAGACAATGTCATCGAAAAACATCGTCCTAAGTACTCGAAGCTCTTATAGGTATAGTGGGGTAAGGGTTACTGTTTATTCATATATAAATAAATTTTCATTGAAGCCAAGAACTTATGGAATACGCTTTTGGATGTATTTACCTATAAACTTTTCATAACAAAATCAATTTTCGACGTTTATTCCTATCAAAATTTTCTCGAAATAAGAACTTATTATTTCATGCTAAGGATTTATGTAATTCAATATCGTAAAAATGAAACGATATTATGATCGTTGACAACTATTTCCTTGCAATAACTTACTCAAAGATGATTTAGCTTCATATAATTTTTCTTGATTATCAAATTGTGCAATAGTCATATGTGGATTATAACTATTTTGATCATTTTTCAAAATTTGTGGAAATAATTGTTTAAGTTGTTCATGTAATTGTTTAACATAATTTGTTGATTGTTGATTTAATTTCATATAACTAATATTATTTTCAATAAATGAATCAATTTCATTAATTTCAACAGAAAATGATTGATATTGACTTAATAAAAGTCTTAATGGTAAAAGAATATTTTCTTGATCATCTTGACAATCAGTTAAGTCAAAAAATGGCCATAATAAATTAATATGTGGAGGCCATCGATCAAATGATGGATCATATTGTTTACGATATGAATCAATTAATGACCATTGATTTATTGTTGGTAAAATAACAAGTGCTGATCGATGATTTATTGATCTTGTTCGAAAATTAATAACTAATTGTAAACCATAATGATCAGATTGGTTAATACGTTTGTTATTATTATTATTCAATGGATCAATAGGAATTTTTTCCATACCAATCATTGAAAGATGTTCAATTGCGTAAGAAAGATTATCTAATGCATAAATTAAATATCGATCCAAACGACGATTTATTGGCGACTGACATGTAATTCGAGCACAAATGTTACTTGATGGATCAAATGTAAAGCCAGGATTCTAAAACAAAATAGTCCATTATGACAGAAGTGACAACAGAATATATCTCACACTCTGCTAGAGAAAGATAAATGGTATTACAAAATCCGATTTATATCTCAAGTAACCACACACCATCCCTCCTAATCGAGAATCCCACTTGCTACAAAACTTAATTCAAAATCATTCTACAATGAAATATCATCTACGAGAACATGCTTCAAATCTTCAATGATCATCATTAAAAAATAGAATAAAGAGGAATAGATATATTTAGTATTCCTTATAAGTTGATACATGTTTTTTTATTTTATCGAGATACTTTGTTTTGATTTAAAAATAATAGGCAAGATGATTTAGAAAATCGATGCTTAGTGTATGATAGTGTTGCTAAAATTTCTCATAGACAATCAAAGTTATAGACTAGAACTTTCGCATTTATTCAGTACTAACAAGGTAAAGTTTCCAAGTGATAAATCGCTTTCGTGTTGAAACTAAATTTAATCCATAGGGCCTAGTGAGTAAATAAATACCATGGAGTGATTGGAGTTGTTGCGCCTTTGCTGCTGAGATGTCGAATTTTCAGTAGATTTTTCGTGTAGGATCCCATTTTTGAAGCTAAATCATACTTTTGAATTTCGATATGAAACATTGCATATAAAAAGGCACCATTTTGATTAGTTTATAGAAAATAAAATCAGAATTTTTTCACAAACTCTTTCGAGCATAAAAGTTACTGAATATAGACACATTGTCATGATTATTGTAAAAAAATCCAACAACTATCAGTTTTTTAAAATTTTAAAAATTTCTGAGACATCTTTTATCAATTAGAAGTTTGAAATCAACCGAATTTCGTCTTGTCATTTAAGATTTTATTGATAAAATTCAAATATCTTACTTGATCAAGATGATAAATATCTTTCCATAAATCATGTACTTTATTTTCATATGTTGCAAGAATATTTTGTTCTTTTAAATTATTATCTCCAAAATTAAAATCACCAATAAACATACAATTATTTGTTTTCATTTTTCTAAAAAAAATTTCTAATGCTTGACAACGTCTTTCACTGGCATTAGAAGAATGATCACTATGTAAATGAAGATTAACAAGATCAATTGTAATTTTAGTATTTAAACCAAATCGAGCTATGATTATTGTTTTCGATTTTTTTGCTGTTACTCCATGATCATCATCAGATAGATCAAGTGGGCATATTGAAAATGATCGTGGTCGAAAATTTTTCATAATCATCATTTGTCCATATGATTTTTTTTTATTACTATCAATAACTTTTTTTGTAATAATAATATAATAATTATTCTCTTGTAGCCATGTTTCATTTAAGAGAAGATTAAGAAAATTAAGAGTTACTTCTTGTAAACAAATAAAATCAGGTAAAAGTGATTTAAGTGTTTGAAGTATTGATTGATATCGTTGTGGAGTATAAATACGTGCTCGTTGATAATAATCAAATAAAATATTCCATGTTACAAAATGACATCGTTCAGGAAGACATGTCTCATTTGTTGATGGGATTTTTGGATCGTCTAATCTTAATGATATATGTGGACATTCAATCCATTGTTGTAGAGTTTGATCAAAATGATAGAGTCCTTGTACCAGAGTAGGTCTTTGCTTAGTATCTAGGATATAGGAAAAGAATTTAGATAAGATTTTGATCGAATGATCATTGGAAAATGTTATTCAAAACTGTTCTTTCGAAAAATCAAGCTTTGAAGAACAAAATATTTTTCATAACATTGAATACTTTAAAATTTAGTTTACCAAAATTATAATGATAGTTCGTTTGTTCATATAAACATCATTTGAAATCTCTTCTGACCTTGAATTACTTTTAACAAACGTCGAGTAAAATGGTAACAATGTTACACAGGGATTCAGGCTCATTGTCTACGAATAAAGAACTGTGGTTGTTTTAATGCGTTTCTTTACTGAGAGTAAGACATGCTCGTTGTCATTGAAACTTTTATGACTATCAAATGTCCCACCAGACAACATTTCAGTGAAAAAGTTTTTGTTTTAACTTTTTCGGAAATCTGTTACTCTCATTAAAAATTTCATTAAGCCAATCATCATTCTTTATTGATATGAAATTAACCAAAATTCGTTTATGTTTTTCTGATTTTGACAAGGAGAACATTTCAATGCAAAATAGTTTGTCTAATACTAATAATAGATCATGGCATCATAAGTATGCATGTATAAAGAAAAACACATTCTTTCAGGAGAGTCACACTTGGTTTGTCGAGTTTTTTACATTTATTTGAGAATTGAATTTAGATCTTTGCGTCAATAGAAACAAAAGTATACAAATGAATTAGATAACACTTTTCTACATTCATCCATCAAAATGTTTTCAAGTCTTTCTAACTCTTTTATTTATTAATCAAAAATAAAAGTTTTCTTTCATACCATTTGATACTTCTTTTAATTGATCACTACCCGTTAGTGTGTCTAACTTTTTCGTTCGATCCCATACAATCTGTTCATTGATTTTATAATATTGAATACGATGCGTTGGAACTCCATACTAAAAATAATCGTAATAGATTTAATTTATTCGAATTAAATAATATTACCTCATGCTCGTGAACTCTTTTAAATTCATGAAATGCTATTTCATGTATACCTGTAAAACGATCTTCATAACCAATTATAACTTGTGATCGATCAATTGTTTTATCATGTAATATTCGATTAAAGATTAAATCAGCACCATGAAATTTATTTGTCGTTGTTGATATAGTTTCTGCTGATTTTTTCGTTTTATGTTTGAATTTTTTATTTGTTAGTGCAATTTGTAATAAACGATCTTGAATTAATTGAATAATATATCGAACTGATGTTTGTTCATTTGATTGTTGAATAATTTCATCAAAATATTTATGAATATTTGTCCACTGATCATTATTTAATGGACATTTATTTGATGATTTATTAATTCGTAAATCATGTATATTATTAATAGTTAATGATTTATGTAAAATGTTAAGTGTATTAAAGAAAAAACTTATTTGTATATTATGATCAAGTTCGATACGAACTTGTTCATAATCTCCTGATAAGTGAATTTGAAGATGATCATCTGAATGTAATATCAAACGAAGAGAATTTAATTGATCTGTAATTGTTATTGTGCTGTCGTTTTCATCCATTTTGATTTTAGTTTGATAACTTTTCTATAAAATTGTTTTGTTCTCCTGTCAAGGTAAGAACGAATAACATGGTGACGCTCCATGTTTGCTTATATAGGAATAGTACGACACATTGAGTAATTTCGCAAGCAGAATATGTCGCAATCACTGTGTGAAACGATAAAAAATGAGTCAAATAATTAGAAAAACATAGAAATAATAGTGAATCATAAACAAATTAATTAATTGGTTTTTATTTTACAAATCATATGAGTAAGCTATTATGTATAATAGTTTTATTTTATTTAACGATACACGTCGCTCAAAAACGAATTTAGTGTTAACGGTGTAAGTTGGTCTAGTATTTATGTTTTAAATTAGAAAGAAAAGTAAAATAGTAGTCTTGAAAACAAGCAAGTCAATTATTAAAAATAATTGATTAAATTTCGTACCATTACGATTATATTTTAAAAATAACTCTAATGGTATGTTGTTGTGTTCATATCACGATAGCGAAGTATAGGGAATAGATTACTCTTCTTCGTCATTGATTCTGTTACCGATTTCGTTAGTAGGGTGAATTTTGAACATTGGATGTGGGTATGGGTGTGATTGTGGCTGTGAGGTACCAAAACAAGCCTAGATATACGGAGACCCACACCCACATACCCACCCTTGATAGTATTTCTAATCAGAATTCTATTGATGAAATCCTATCAGCATACTTAGTTATTTTGATATCTTTGTCCGAATTCTAATTAGTGCAAAGAAGGAATTGATAAACGGTCTAAAAGATCTACATGTTTCGCTGAAGTTGAGAACTCGAACTTATTGTTTTTCAACTCTTTTCTACCAAAACTGGTATAATTTCATTTTAGGATAATAAAAAAAATAATGACATGTAGAGAATAACAGTGTTTAAGAAATAAAATTTTTTATTTCAACAGTAGCTAGAGAAAACATAATAGACAATATTAGAAAGAAAGACTATCGAAAAGACAGAATTATTTTTGCAGAAAAACTGCAAAAGTAAATTCTGTATAGACTAACTTTATGTTCGAAAAGTGTGTGAGTGTGGTTCTTAGTACTGTTGTCACTCGTACTCACACGCACACCTACTCCCATCCACACCCATACCCACATCAACACCCCAAAATATATTTTCAGTTATATTTTTAAACTAGGTGTAATTTATAGAGTTCGATAAATATCGAGTTTCACTATTTCAATTTAATGAGGTACAATTTGTAGAGTGTGTTAAACAATAGTAATGTTTTTTCTTGGTTTTAAATAACACGTGAGGAAAGTTAGCAGCGGATTAGCGTATTCCTTGCTGATATTCGCTTATAGACTTGGGCTGGTTTTACAATTTTAGTCTCTGTTGAATGGTGATATTTTCAAGGGGGATCATCGAACAAAAGATAGGATTTGACTCAAAATACTAGGATTTTAGGTCCGATTAACTAGTAATGCTTGATAATAATCAATCCTAGAGCCTTGCTAAATCTTTATTTAAGGGTGTTCGCCGCAGAGTTCAATTTTGTATCAATTAGTGATTTTGTGAATGCATGATCTTGGTTTTTCAAATGATAGTGGATTTAAATATAACATGAATATTTTGCAACGTTGGGTTTTCTTAGTAAAGAAATCTTTTAGTCCATCACTTTTACTTTGAAAGAGTGAGATCCGTGATGGATGTTTCATTTTGATTCGAATTATAATATTGAGTTTTACAGAGCTATGACTGCGACAATACCTTCGTATTTGATGTTGACTCAACATTCTTATGTGCTCTTTTGTGATGTTTTTAAAATCTTTTACATGTATTTGTACGATGAGGTGCCTGGTAGAAAAACAATTAAATGGATCATTTATCTGTTCTTACCATACGAACATCTGTAAAAGTATACTTGAAACAGAGTCGTGTTACTAATAGAGTACTGTATACTCAGATTAACTTGATACACAAGGTATTTATTCAAATAAATCGAAAGCATTATTAGTTATTATCAAATGTGTTTAGTGTTACGAAAACAAATGTTGTTTGAATAATCAATAAAATTCGTCTGTTGTGTATGACAATTTCTTTTTCGATCAATAAAAAAAATCACTGCTTGATATTATATTTTCCATATTAATATTATAAAATGAAGGCTCGGTTAAACTGCTATCTAACGTTTAATTGTAAACAAGCTATGATATTATACATAATTGAAGCATGGTAATTTTCAATAAGATAAATATTCCTTTTAAAGAGATAGATATTGATCGCTGTAAGTAATAATCTGTAAAGAAGAATAAAGCGTCACACAGTGTGACTGATTAACAATAGATCAATCTGAATCATAATATAAATTTATTACCCGAAGAACAACAAAAAAAAAGAGGAAACGTTGAATTGTTAAAGAATTTCAACAAACTCATAGCTTACGAGGGAACATTCCCAGGTGTTGGAGCGATTTTTAGTCGGAACTTTGCGCATCTTGTAGGCCTTGATGAATTATGTCTACCGTAAAAAAAGTTCGTGCCCCTAGTTTGTTCCTAGTGACATATCGAGGTTTTAGTGAATTTTTCCTATAAGACCCCACATTTGCAGCAAGACCATATTTTTGAATTTTGATCTGAAACTTTGCCCACATAAACACCTCAGCTAGACTAGTTTGCATAAAAAATTTCAGAACTTTTGGACAAAGTCTCTCCGAGATATGAAGCTTTCAACGTATAAGCCGTTTTCCATAGATAGCGTATAAAGCATGCATTTTTTGAAAGCTTCATATCTCGGAGAG